CTACACCTTTCTAAACGTTGATTAATGTACGGTGCAAACCCTGTCTATTGCTAAACAGTGTTTACGACTTTAAACGATGTTTAGTAAAACGGTGCAAACGGCCATTAATATCCTGTACTAACGTATTGAAGAGACCTAACATGTTATAAAACTATGATGGTGTATGTAAATCTGGGTTGAATGATGGAATAATTGAAGAAAAAATAAACAATTTAGCACATTACCTAATAGAACGGTGGTATAATTGGAGAGTACAACCACTCCGGTACGTCGTGTTTTCGATCCCAATTCAAAAGTAAAAGGACCAAATCTTTTGGGAGGAATACCAGCTCTTATGACACGTTTTTGTATGCATGCTGTTGGAGTGGTGCCCGGCATCGAGAAAGTGTTTCTACAGATGAGTATAACGAAAGGGGACTACGATTACCTTAGATTCTTGTGGTAGAAGCCATTGAAATGCAAGGAATTATTCACTTTCGTCACTACCGAGTTGATTTTGGTGTATTTTCATATATAATACCATAAGTAGTCGAAGTATTGTCAAATATTTTTGAGGTGCTGTCACGAATGCTAGTTACGCTGATTAATACCACGAGCGCTTGCGCGAGTGGTATTAAAAAGCGTAACTAGCATGAGTGGAGCAGCAGCTCAAAAATAATCTACAAATACTTCGACTACGAATGGTATTCGGAGGACTATTCAATGAATCAAAAGAAAAATTAAGCATAATTACCCACGCGAATGTATTTCCATGACAACAATAAACGTCAAAATAAATTATGGAAGTTGCTTTTCATTTTGCTATTGATTCTATTCGAACTTTTGGGCTCCAAGCTAATTCGTTATGAGTGATTAAATTAAAAGATGTGGTGATAAGTCGGTTGTCGAAATTGATTAACAAACTAAGAAGAATGTTCCGGTTAATACGACAAAATTTCGCGTCATTTCACTGGTGGAAGTTTGACAAATGTCATTGAATAATCGCATTGAATTGTCGCTGAAATACCACACGTGAAATTATCACTTATAATTGCACAAGAGGTTTGTATTTTACCGAGTAAATTTGGGTTGTTTAGGTAATGAAAATCTGTTGCCTAGCAATTAGACGAGAAAAACTGTCAACTAATAAAAATGCGACACCGCAGGTGGAGCATTTTTAGGTTGACAGTTTTTCGAGTTCAATTGCTAAAAGGCAACAGATTTGAATTGCAACAACACAAATTTACTCGGTTTAAATACAAACCTCGAGTGTAATTCGGCAGGACAATTTAACGAACAAGAAATTCGCATAACTAATCAATTACTGACAGACGTCAAACTAGTCATATGGGAAAGGATAATGCGATAATTGGTTCGAAAATGAATAAGTGAAAAAACCACTAGTGCATTTGTCGCTGGAAAAGTTGCAGGTAACTTTTGCCGCTGTCAAAGTGACAATTTCACTGCGGCTTATGCGATTTTTTATACATGAGTTGAATTGTCGCTGAAATACCACACGTGCAATTATCACTATAATTCGTTCCCATTGGCGCAGCAATTTGAAATCGAGACATTTCACTGGTTGAAATGTGACAAATGTTAGATGAATTGAATAGTCAAGTTTATTCCTACTTGGAGCAACTTTAAGTTATCACCTCGACAACCAAGAAAAGAATTACATTACTGCACAATTGCTCCTTCCATAGAAAGTGCATGTTTCAGAATGAATCACAGTGTCTACTAGGGAATCGTCAATTTGATTTGGGTGGATGGTGGAAATACGTTTATTTGCAGAAGTATTTTCTCACTTGCATACATGATTTACGATCAACTTGAATTGTTCAGCCCTTTTACTATTATCGCCACCATACTATTACAACAATCCTGGAATTTCAAGGTTGGATGGGATGATCCATTATCAGATGATATCACTACAAAGTTCAAAAAATGGAGAAAGTAACTATCTAAATTACAAGAACTGAAAATTCCTCGTTGCCTCGAGGTATATCATCTGTTACAAGGATTTACTGATGCAAATACGCATTTGAATTTTTTGAATTTGTGCATATTTGAAGTCTGAATTTAGAACCAGTACATGTATTCAAACGGTGATATGAAAGATCAAAGTTGCTCCCAACAGGATTTGATTATTCCTCGTTTAGAGTTGTTGGGTCGTTCCATTTGGGCAAGACTTGGTGCCAATATAAAAAATGATTTCGAATTTCCTGAAATCGGGATTAATTATTGGTCTGATTCTACAACCGCATTCACCTGGATCAAAAAGAGCAGAAAATTGGGGTACATATATCCATAACCGTGTAGCAGAAATAAGAATCTTGTATTGTGGACACGATTAGAATCATGTTCCTGGTCCCTGGAATTATAAATCCTGCTTTCCCGTGGAGCATTCATTCCCTACATCAATCATTGAATCATGATGGTGAGAGGGACCAAGGTTATTAGATCCTAATAGCCTAAAACCAGTGAATCTATTGATGGAGAAGCTGAAAATAAGGAAAAAGAAAAGACAATTGTATCTTCCCTAAATATCAACAACAAATATGTAATGTTAAAAGTAATGAACTATTCTAATTTTAACAAAATGATTCGAGTTATCGCTTACCTTTATCGTTTCATACATAACTGTAAATAGAGTGTGTTCAGTATTAAAAAAGGCAGAAGTGACTCGGAAAAGTTATGTGGAGAAATAAGTGCAGATGAAATGAGAAAAAGTGAGTATTTCATTCTTAAGTTTATAATAATAATAATGAATGTCTTTTCCACGTTCGGTGTTTAGTGAATAGGTGAAATGGATGTTTTTTTACTGTTCAAGATAAGATAAAGAAAATACATCTTTTTATTGATGCTAATAGGCTCATAAGAATCAATGTATTTAACTGATCCTAACAAAGAATTAACCTGTCCTATTGCATTACCTTCAACGCATGAAGGATAATCTGGACCAATCATTAGTGTTGCTGGAGTTACGATATTGATATTGATATTGTGCGCAGTTCAAAGCAAGCTGATCAATGGCTGCAAAGGACTGCATGCAATTTTTACAGGACCGGGACTACTTTTCTTGCATGAACCGCGCAATGGGGCCATCCCGCCTGCATTTTTTATTTCTGATCCACAAAGTACACTAAAAATAAAAAGACCTGTGTGTCCTCAATTTTTATTTGCGAGTAAAATAAACCCAAAATAAATTATTGAAAAGCTGTGTTTTTAGTCCGATTTTGAAACGCTTCAGACTAAATACGTCACAAACCTACAACCAATCACGTACAAGTGAGCTGGCAACCTTACGCGAGGGTCTGACGTTTGTCACATTTGACGTTTTGAGAGGGATGTTCAACTGCATCTAGCACGAAAGTGACAAGTGCCTGTGACAGATGACGCAAGTTATAAATGCCATTCTCCTGCAATATTGCCAAGTTGTTATGTCATCTGAATGGTTCTAGGAGCTGATTGGTCGGGCTTATTACGTCACAGAGCCCGCCACAATCATATCGTTTTGAATAAACCTTTAAAACCGCACATGTTCATTATTTTTTTGCTAATCAGCCTCTATTTTTAAATAAACTTTTACTGTCCAAAAAAATGTTTTATGGTTTCGGGTACACGCTTATTAAATTAGAACTGCGGAATTCAACTATACTGTAAACCCCCATTCTACCGATTAATCTATTGTTTTTGTGCCACCAACCTAGTCCAATATAGCGGCGACAACTATGATGCTGAGGGCCGCACTGATTGCCGATTGTTTCTGGGATTGCTTTTAATCCTATTTATTTTTGTGATTTTCATATTTCTTCAAGCAATCAAAATTTAACATTTATTTGAGGTTAGCAACTTTCTGCTTCGTTACGTTACAATGTATCCTAAGAATCCCTCTGTAGATATGGAGATGTTTGTAAGAGAAATAAAATTAAGAAACGGTAGAGAGCAGCTTAACTTTGTGTTTGTTCAGAGATGGCTTGGAGCTGCCGTGTTTCAGTTCAGAGCAGAAGTGTTGGCACCGACATTACTCAGTGCCAAAGTGTCTTAAAGTGTCCAAAGACAAGGCGTTCATGTCGGGATCTCGTGTCTTTCATGTTTCTTCAATTCTTTACGCCCTTACGCCTCTGTCCGTGTAGATAGCTTTGAATAAGTTTTACGTCAATGTACTGTTACCTGTTACATATCTTATCTTTTAATTTGAAATTCATTCCTCTCAGTTTAATATTATTGGATCTATACTTCGAAATAATACTTTGATGTGGAATATTATAAACATACAATTCCAATTTGAAACGCGAATATTTTTAACATAAAATTGTGTGGTGTCAGTATACTTCTAAACATTAAAAAATTCGCTAAAATTAACATACATAATATTAGTGAAGTTATATAATAATCACCATGAATTATAACTAGAACTAGAACAATGTAGGTATAGGTGGAACATTTAATAAATTTATTATTAATATATAATCGATGAAAAAAGGCGTGCTACAGGTTTTTGTGCTGTAACAGTGTAAACCAAGCAACATTTGACTTTTCGGAAACTTTTACTTACACCTTTTTTAATAATTGGTATGTACAGTATAATAATTTTAATAGATATGCTCGCGTTGACATTCATCATCACCTTTGTTAAGATTGCATTAAAGTTGAATGCCCATGCCGATTTTTTCGACGTTGGACTATGGAGCACTTGAAAAGTGAGATATCACCTTTCGTGGTTCATTGATTAAGTGTAGGAATATCTACCTACGTTTGAATAATAAATAAAGTTAATGTTCTCTTTAGAGTTCAAGGCGAGACGTGACATTAAAAATAATTTTATTATAAAGTTGATGCCTGTAAATAAATAATCAGAAACTCAAATCCAGGCCGGGGTGAGGTGAATACACACAATTGCCGAAAAAATAGTAAAAGATTAAATGCGTCCTTGATAGTGCCATTAATAGCAAGAATCTACATGAAAAGATCTACGCCGCCGACGCCGATTTAGTTACGTAATACCACAACTCCACCGCAGTCAGTACTTCAACGAATATATCGACGAAGCCACGTATTCGGTCGGTCCGTCGGCGTCACTGGCCTCGTTCGTAATGCTAAATACGTCATTTAAAGATTTATATAATACAACAGCTGATTGCAAAGACCGGACAAATTATCTCTACGTTTGATTGTTTACGTTTTCAAAGACAGGATAACCCAAATATCGCTGGCGTGTTGATAGGCCTCTCTCTTATTGCATTACCTGTACGAATATTTTTTTACTCCTACTGCCTGCGATTTCCTCAGTTACGGTCTTACAGCGAACACGGAAGTTTGTAGTACTCTAATAGTGTCTACCTGTGAAATATAAATCATTTTCGCATTCTTAATAGCTCCATTTGACTCTAAACATCAAGGTGAGTCAATAAGTAATTAAATATTAATATAATAGTTGTGCTACCGCTGTATGTACACCCACGCTTTTTTTTGTAACCTGCACACCTAAACACAGCGTGTACACATGCACTAAATATGTATTGTTGTACTTAGATTATTGCAAAACACTGTTAGTATGTCGTAACATTCAAGAGAGTAAATTGTAATTTAGCAACTGTCGCCTTTAAAATAGTTTCAAAAGTTAATGGTGCTATATTTAGAAGACGATGTGTCTGGCTGGCTGTTACGTTGATATTTCCCAGAAATTAAGGAGCGTTACTGGGAACTGGCATAGTCTTTCATTTTAAATGTGTTACTACATCCCCATCTCTTCTTTTCACAACTTGATGTTATCTAGATTCCAACTATCGATTTAGTCTGCTAGGCGCCACTACGCAAACAAATTAATAAACTTCCGTATCTACGAAACGAAGATAAAATCACTTTTTGTGTAATAAAATAGCGGGAATCAATACTACATTAACACGACGCTGGCACAAATTGAATAAAAATGTCAAGGCTAATGCTAATAATAAACTCTTCACCATTAACCCCCTAACGTGTGCCTTGCGTTAGGAGTGCTATTCTTTTATAGTTTAGTAGGAATGTATCAAAGGAAAGGTCAAAAAAGCAAAGGGTAACAAAGTGTTAATCGATATCGGAGATGTATTAAACATTTCCTCACACTATGACGAGTAATCATAAAATAGTGCGAGTATATGACAGCATATTATAAGATCAAGTTTACCCAAAGATTTTTATGGAGAAAGCTGGAAGTTCGGAGTGATCCTAAGTCTAAGTTAGTAGTGAAAAGTCTCCTAAGGTGCACATGAGCTGCAAAGTAATAGGGAGGCCGACAACGTTTTTTTATCAAGATCGTCCCAAAGACGTTGGAAATAATGACTAATGGGGCATGGTATTCGAAAGGTACCGGCGTCCCTTGTGCATCGCCGCATTATTCCCAACGTCTTTCCGACTATCTGGATAGAATACAATCTTGGCGTCCCGATTACTTTGCAGCTCTTGTGCACCGGGCCTAAAGTTCCCTTTAACTTGTAACGCCATATTGAAAAACGTTGACCAGTTTCTCTTTTATATTAGATATCCACGGAACTTGATACTCCTAGTTTAAACAAATTCGTTTAGCCGCTTGTGAGCAAGAGGCAAAGAGTGCACTTTCAAATTTGTTTTTTTCGATTTTAATAGCCCTTATGGACATTTCATGCCTTAACGAGAATACAAACATGGAATAATTTTTAATTTTTGATCGAATAACACCAATACCAAGTCTGTAAGTGGTGTAGTTCCGGAGCCTTTGTCACTCAGACAGACAGACATCAAGAGCGAAAAAGTGCACTTTTTATTTTTTTTTTAAGTGAAAGTGAAAAAATTAAGGTTCATTGGGTCTATTAACTTGCAATACGATGGGCGAATCAGCTAATACGTAATACCGATATTTCTATGGGCAGTGTGAAAGCAAGTAAATATCTCTGGAGTCTTAAGAACTATCAGAATGAAATTTGATTTCTAGATTGTAGATATAGTAAATAGTGTATCTGCGTTGATGGTTTTTAACTAATTAAAGTTTCCGGTTTTACCGGTAGTTAACACTATTGGTAAGTGCCAGTGTGTATATCAAGTTTTAATACAACATTTTTGCGATTACAAATAACAGGATTTGAGCTCCCTTTCTTTATCTCTGTTGCAAAGATGAAAGCAAGACATTTCAGTCTTCTTGGGATTAGGACAAAGTCGCCATTTGATATAGTAATCCACCATAATCTGTAAATCTTCATTAAGAAGATTCTTCTAACTTATGGAACGTATTATTTTGGTATATTGGTATGTTGGTAAGAGCAATATCTGTTGTATAAATAAACTTCCTGCAAGAAGTTGGTGGTAGGCTCGGTGGTAGGTATGTCACTTGCATGAACCGTGAAAAGTAGAGGTGTAAGTACCGATCCTTATGGCAAACCACTATTAAGGCATTTAAATTTACTACACTTGTCAGTTGTCCCCAATGAAAACTTTGAATTTACGATTCGACAACATCTTATTGACTAAGGTTATGCTCGAGGTTATGTTATAATTCTTCTGCAAGGAACCAATTTATACAATTATTTATGAATAATGGCATCTTTCCAACCTCGTTTCCAACAGTGTCGAAGTAAGATCAATAAACGGTGCACCTGTTTTTAATTTTAGTTTAGGGGTCAATCGGGTTAAATTTTCTTTTCTAGAAGCAATCAAACAAATTTCTCTCCAAAAGGATTATTGTTAATTTTTCTTTAAATGATTTCGTATTCTAAGATTGAATTCTGCACTTATATTATTTTAAATTTTTTTGTCTCCTCAACACTTCTTTTAGGTTATTAAAATCTTCTTTCAGATTGCTACCTGTGATATCGGTTTGAAAATCACCCGTACCTTAAGACCTACCAGAACATTTGCATTTATTTTTTATTATACCTGAATCACAATCTCCGTTTTAAACACTCAAATGCGTGCGAAAAAAAGCCTTTAAAACACACGTGCTTTAAAATTGCTGAGTAATGATACCTACTTCAAGTATGACTTTTTAAACTGTCATCTGGGTGAAATAAAAAATCCTCTTAGGTCGCTTTCTGTAAATGCAGAACATTTCTCTTAGGTCGCTTTCTGTAAATGCAGAACATTTCTTTGGCTTGTACCTACCTATACTTTGGTTGAAGCTTTCACAAATGCGCGTAATTTAGGGTATGCTTCCAAATCTGTTCCACTTTTTAATCGCAGTATTGTTTGAAGTTTTGAATGAATGCACCAAAAGATAGAAGATTTAAATACCTTTGACATTTCCTTCATATATGCCAGCATTATCGATGCATTTAAGACTTTAAGACTTACTACTCGTAAGTAACTTCCTAATCAACAACTTTTCATATTCTTTATAATAGGCTTTACTGGATTTGGATTTTACACCTACCAACGTTTGTTTAGCTTTTACAACAAGCGATTTAACTACCTTGTTCAACGGTAACCGTTTCATTCACAAAGACGATGATTTTTATAAGCAAACAGCAAGTGGCATTTCCATGCCAGTTGTGAAATTCCGAACAACCCGCCCACTTAAGTATACATGTATTCGAGTATAACGTCAATATGATTTCATTGTATTTCCTATTTTTAAATTATACTGTAGGTATAATAAAAAATACTATAAGATACACGTGTATAATGGTCTTTAAAGCACTTGCAACGTTAAAGGCACTCCCCTTCGCGTGGTGCCACTAAACTCGTTGCTCGTGCTTTAAAGACTTGATTATACACTTGTATCTTAATATACTATTTTGAGACGGTTGCCTGGAATTAGGGATAAACCGTAAGGAACTGGATTATATGGAATAAGTTGATATTGTGGCAAATTTCTTCTAAGCATAAAGGATAATTTGTGCATGCACTTGTAAAAGATTCAGTGATCTAGAAAACTGTTTGTAAAGGCTATTAAATCCAAAAAATAAATTTATTTGAAAGGGCACTCTTCGCTTCTTGCTCACAAGCGGCTTAACGAATTTTTTTGTTCTTTGTCGACATTTGTTTTAATACAAACGATCAAAAATTGATTTGATCAGGTTTTAATCGAAGTTGCAATCGATATAATGTTCGTAATTGATTGTCGAATACGCGTGTATTTTGAATTAAATGATCTATACTTCATTCATTATAAGAAGGTAGTAGATGGCGCTGGGTTTGAAGATAAGCACACACAGGAAAAATATAAAACTGCACCAAATTATTGTAAAGTAGAAATACCTAGCACTGCAAACACAAATCAATCTTTGACATTAACAGTTAATGACACTTCAATAGTTTAGATGCCAACAGAAACTACCAGCTTGCAAAATTCGCCACCCGTTTTATGTTTCAGCGTAATACTGACTTGTGTTTTAACCAATCACACTGAAGGTCAAATCTTCCCTATGTTTTTTACCGCTACCTTCTTAAAATGAATACAGTATAGTGAGCGAGATGATAGTATGTACACAACAAATTTCGTGGAATTCGCTCCATTTTCGTTGTCCGGCCAAGAATTGCAGTGGAACGTTTTTTTTTCGAATTTTAAACAACTAATTCCAGATTCATCATTTTCATGTTCAAAAACTCCCAGATACCAAATTTCGTCCAAATCAGAATTTTTTCTCACCCCCAAGTAGGGGTGCGCCCTTTCGTGGTAGGAATTTTGAATTTTTTTTAAATCGAATAGCAATAGGGCATACCTGACTACCTATTCAAAGACGTGCCAGCCATCTTTGTAACTCTTTTGGTTGCTGAGAAAAAAATTAAAGAAAAAATCCAAATTTCACCATTTCTTTGGGAGTGGCTCCTAAACGAAACACGTACCCACGGTTTATTTGGAAAAAGTCAGGGAAAAAGTGCTTGTCTTGATCCCCTCTATCGCCCAATTTTTTGTACATACGGCCATGTAACGTAACACCCTATATAGGTATTCACATTGGGTATGATAAGAAAATTATGTCAAATTTGTTATGACCACTACCAAGTAGTGTTATTATGTCGTAGACATTTTGTAAAATCCTTCATTTTATATAATCCCTAGGCAGTTGATAAAACGCGGGTGAATTGTGGTATAGTGGCCTTTCTAGGGCTAAGGAATTGGGTTCCCTTCCCTTTCGAGAGCGATAAACGGTATCCCTTATCTATCTAGAGAGGGAAGGGAAACTACTCCACACGGCAAATTGTCAGCGTTTCACAAAGTACCTACGGCGTATACAGAGTGGCCCAACGAGAAGTATACAGAGGGCTTTTAGGGTATTAAATTTAGAAATTTCGAAAAATCCTCGAACACGTCAATTTTGTGTTCGAGGGGGACAACTTTTGGAATACAAATCACGAACCCAAGTCTTCACCCCTCTACGTAGGGAGCTTAACCCCTAAAATTTTAAATGGAATCCTATGGCACATGGCACATTATTTGAAAGCCAATTTAATCGTGATTACTAATCTGCTTTGTTTTTTTAATTCTATTGATTCGTTTCGGAGATATTCGCATTTGAAATGGTTTTTTTCCCCAGATTTAAGTCCTTTAGATTACTTCTTGTGGGGATATTTAAAGAATAAAGTTTATGCTACTCCGCCCGCAACATTACAAGGGTTGCGAGCACGTATAACCATAGTGTAAGAATAGAATACACTATGGTATAACTCAACAATTTCGAGCGATTACCCCTGAAATCTTGCAACATGTACGGCAGCATTTTGAAGCAAATCTTTATTATTGCATGGAAGCAGGCGGAAGGCAATTCGAGCATTTATTGAAATAAATGTTGTGTGTTTAAAGTTATTTGTTATTTTTTGCACAATTTAAACCTTTTTTAATACAAGGTGACTTAGATCGCATTTGTTTTGGTTTTTTAAGAAAAAACCATTTCAAATGCGAATATCTCCGAAACGAATCAATAGAATTTAAAAAGCAAAGCAGATTAGTAATCACGATTAAATTGGCTTTCAAATAATGTGCCATTTGCCATAGGATTCCATTTAAAATTTTAGAGGTTGAGCTTCCTACGTAGAGGGGTGAAGACTTTGGTTCGTGATTTGTATTCCAAAAGTTGTCCCCCTCGAATACAAAATTGACGTGTTCGAGGATTTTTCGAAATTTCTAAATTTAATACCCTAAAAGCCCTCTGTATACTTCTCGTTGGGTCACTCTGTATATAAGTTTGCAGCTTCGAAAGACCCGTGCTAACTTGGTAGCACTGGAAAAACCGCGACGATTTCGTACTTTTAGTTTTTTCCGTATAAGTTCTAAACTATGCGTTTTGTTAAAAAAATATGTTATGCGTTTTTACGGGAGGCAATTGCTACGAAACCAGCATTACAGAACCAGCTATGCTGGTTCAATGCTTACTGATTTGCAGCTCTCCAAAATTTGACAATTTTTTGCACAAAAAAATGAAAGTTTTGGTCAATTTTCGATGGACACACTCATTTTACGGAAAAAATCGTCGGGAGATGTTGTAGCAAATCAGCTTTAATTTAAGCACAGAACTACGTCTCTAGTCTCATAAATCTTAAAAATCGAGAAATGGAAAAGCTGAATTTTTCTCAAAATTGCTCTGCTTAGTCCTCACACTCCTCACAATAATTTAAGAGTAGTTTGGAAGAAAAAACCATGCACATCCACAAGAAATTTATATTAAAACTATTAATATTGTATTTATACTGTTATTTATTAAAAAATATTTATTTATGTTATTATTGATATCCTGATATTTATTAAGCATACTTACCCAATGCATTACAAGGACATAATTTTTGGTAGAATTGTTCTGTTCGTGGGCGGTTCAAAATTGTCTGATTCGGCCTGATCCTTTTTCAATTGTTGGTGAGTGGATTCTCCTCGTACAACAGCTGATCTTTCGATACGTACTGCCTCACTGTAAGCCCATGAAAACTCAGTACAGTGCAGAACTTTAGAGGATGTTTTGAATCAAACTTTCTATCTATGTATGTATGCTATCGTCTCCAAAGAAGAAACGAAAGAATTACTTCCGTTTGTTTTGTATTGGCATATGGTTTTGACCAACAGCTTAACAGATTCAGGAATCCCAGAGTCAGTATCCTGTAAGAAAGTAGCGGATACTCACTGAACGTCATTTACCTCGTCATTTACCATTAAACGAATGTCTTGCAAAAGTATCCTTTTATTGTACCAGTTGTCGTACAGAATTTTTTTTTCGACCAATCTGACAAAACGTCATGTTCTTGCCAAACCGTTTCTCAAGGTGGCTTTTGATGGTTGAGAACTGACATTCCTCCCTGTTTCCGACGATAGGAAAGAATACATACACTCCATACTCTCAGTAATATTTTTGGCACAAAATGCCCTCTTTTGAGTTCAGTGGTCGGTTTAGATTTGCATAGTTTGATGCAGAATTAATTGTGGTACCTTCAGCTGCAACTAAGTCATTCACGTTACTTTCTGATGCATGCGTCCTGAACACTGATTTGGATTTGGAAAGGAAAGAGCGTCGAGATCCTCTTAGTCCTTATTGTCTCATCACGTTCTTTTCAAAGACGACCCTTCTCACATTTTACCAAATATATTCCAACGTAACAACTAGACTTTTAAAGAACTAAACAGAAAGCAATCTTGTGAAAAATGCAGTTTTCCCATTTTTTTGATTTTTAAGATTTGTGAGTGAACTGTTATGACCTATATATTTGCTACATCTTTCCCTATGATTTTTCCCGTAAAATAAGTATTTTCCTCAATATCGGAATCGAAAATTTACCGAATCTTAAAATTGCACTTTTTTGAAAAAAACTGTCACACTTTAGAGGGCTCTATCTCAAGTATCGAACTTACAGAGCTGGTTCTGTTCTCAAATTGTAGCAAATTTATTTTATAACAAACCCCATAGTTTAGGAAGTTGAAAAAAACAAAAGAAGTGCGAAAATTTTGCGGTTTTTCAAGTGCTGCAAAGTTAGCCTAAGCCTTGCGAAGCTGGTAGTGGTCCTAACAACATACTAAAAAATAACTAGCCGTTCGTTGGCGATTTCTAGTGTTAGATATAGCTAACCTAGCTTACTATTTAAATCTGCCAATTTTATTTCCTATCGCATCCTTCGTACTAAAATGATCACGATTTCTTTACGAATATTGTCTGTGAATTTGAGTACACTCAGTTTATATCTGCAAATGGTTTTGTTGTTATTGTTATTAGCCTATTACTTGGTTTCTGTAATTGCTCACTCAATGGATTCTTTTAATGTCATTTGACTTGACTTTCAGGTAGGGAACTCGGAAAGTGACACATGCTAGCCCGGAAAGAAAGTGGATAATCAGTGTTTGAAGGTTAGAAATTGAGATATTATACTAATCGATTGTGAGCAAAATTACTACTCCCCAGGAAGAAAGAGTACCGCTCGGAGTACCGTCTTGAACCCTAACTTTGGAGAAGAAAGGCATTTTTAACGTGCTTACCTGTACCTGAAATGTATTTCATTCCTTTTTGACGGTTTCGGTATGATACCCAGGCATTTATAAAAAAAAACAAGTTTAAACCTCACATCAGTCGACAATACTAAACTGGAGTGGTGGTCGCATGCGCAAATGTTTAATTATAACCAGGAAGTCGAAATTAGGCGAGATTAGAATGAATGTTTCCACTCGAATCAAATATGGAAGGGTTCCAGCATCTGATAATGAATACAGTTCATCCACTCTTCGTCTGGTACAGTGATAGTAGGTTTACCCCTATGCGTGCCAATGAGAAAGCAATCCAAGCAGAATACAAATAACTTTTATAATTGACCATCTTTTTTTCCTTGTGCAATATAATATTAGTAACCGCTTATAGCAATGACTCTTGAATCATTTGGTGAGAAGCGCCTGGAATGTCTACTTGAGTATGTAGACGTACTTGCCTTTGATTCATTTGGTTGGCGTGAGACATTTGCAATGGGGACAATTACACGCGTGTGGTTTGTCACATGTGATAACAAGTAAAGGCGACTAATGATAAGCTGTAATAATTAGATCACAGATAATGAAGGTAAACGTTCTTTTCTCTTGCAGTAACTCCTTGGACTATAATAAATAGTAAACTGTCGTTTTCATGACATACGACAATGTGTGCATTGTATGTGAGAAGTAGGTATTATGGACATAGAGGGCGATGATAGTCTGAATTGTAAATATAATGGTACTATTTCTGCGTCCAGAAGAGGAACGATTATTAAAAAAATGCGACTGAGGGATCACGGTGCATAAAAAATTGGTAAACTCATTCACCATTCGAATTGTATTCGAATTGTGAAATGTGTTCGTACACTAAAAAAATCATTCTCCAAAAATCAGTTGTTGAGTGGCTCAATTGAAATAGTAGGTACTCATCTTTCAAGATTACTATTGATTCATGGGCAGCAGTGGATCTAAAAACGTTGTCTATAGGAATCTAGATCTTTTCGTAGGAGTGGGAACCCTGGTTCATTCTGTTAGTGCCACCTATATCATTATATGATGACCGAACCTTAGCAAATTCAATAAGACCTGTGTTATAAAGTTTTGTCTAAAAATTTATTTAAAAAGCAGCTTCGACGGTAAGATTCGTGAATATCTTTAGTATGAGAATAGTTTTAATGACATAGTGGGAGATGAACTTCTACTCTCTTATGCGGCAGTTATGCCCCTATAATAAATTATTATGAACTATAAAAGTGTTCTTTCGACAATCCTTTCTGTTTGATTTCACATTGTACCAAACATGTACGCGGTACGATCATTTCTCCGAAGCAATACACTTACTACCACTACAATCTGCTAAACGATTAAGATTTACTAATAGAAACTATTAAACTCGGTAAGAACATTTATCACTAAAATAATGAAAAATCCAGTCTAATTATTTGGGTGAATAAATATTTTGTGGGTATGTCATTGAACGTCACAAACGTCAATCATCGGTATATTATAAATTTAGCGCCACATTTGCTCAAAAATGGAGAAGATGATTGCGTTACTTTCTTTTAATGGGCGAGTTTATAGTAAACCTAACTACAGTGAATATAGAGACAATGGTAATGAGGCAAGCCAGAGTTGGATCCAAGTAGCCTGACAACTCCGATAGACCCCATGGACTTCTTGACTTTTCTCAAAAATTCGCGAGAACAAATCACTCGGTTTTATTCTAGGTTTCTAATTATACTCTTTATCGCATTTCTTTTAATAATGGGCTATTAGTACCTCAAAGTCGCAGAAACCCGCTTGATATCTTGTTTGGTGGTTATAGATCTTCCACTGGTGAAGAAATAAACAAATCCTTTTAAATTTTCTTCCGGATGATGTCCAAATTTGGGCAAAATATTCATTAATACCGAGTTCGACAAGGAAATAAGAAGACACATTACCTTGATGATGCATATGCGCGGAATTTTGGGTTCTTCTTGTCCCGCTGTTCCCTTGACTAACTTGGTAGAGCAAATTTTTTATTTATTCACCAATTCGAGCTTGGAAACAGTACGGCTTTAAGGGACAGGAATGATGCACGATGCTAATGGTGCACATGCATCGCTCATAATTAACTAGGTGCTTATCCATCTTGTTACAAAGTAACTCCAGAACCGCAAAAGATAACTTCTGTACTGTAAGTATTTGGTGATACGTGTATTCTTTGTTTATTCAGTATGCCATTTTTCTTCACCCAGACCGCAAAGATAGGTCCAGTTCTATCTGGTATATACCCGTCTTATCAACGTAGTAAGTATAATGAGATCCGGTAGTCTATCGAACAGGAAACCGCTCATAATTAGCTATGCATGTATGTGTATAACATATTGGTGAAAACGTGAATATTTGTCAAGGTTAAGCATGTATCCTACCTATTGTTTTAAACTACTAGTATAGGTCTTATAATATACGTGTTTACTGTTTGGCAGAAACAATGAGAATTAAATTTGACGCTATGTAAAAATTTAATTAAACCGGGTTTACCGACTACTAACGGTGTCTTAATTAGTTTTTCTTGCATAGGTATTCTAGATTTAAGAAACAAAAGAGAATTTTTTCGTTAGTATACTGAGTTAAATTTCGTCTCATGCTCCGTTGCATTAGTGCATAATGCAGAAAAGAGATACCTAACACAAACAGATTAAACCAATTGCAAAACTAAAATCCGTGTATTAGGAGGAATTTGGAGGAATTCTTCGGTAGATACAATCCAAAATAACTCCTAAAGATATTAGTGTCAATATTCTAAATATAATCTTTATTTTATTAATAAAGAGCAGCAGGTGTACTTGTACAACAGTCGCTCGTTTATTGTAATTCTTCTTGGTAATTGTACTATTTCATTTTTTTGCACTTTCAGTGACAGCTTCACTAATTTTTTTTGTAATTGCGTTAATTTGTTTGAAAATTTTATATGGTTTACCGAATTGTATACTTACTGAATGTGCATTCTTACAAACTTTTTGGTCAATTCTTTTTTAGTGCTCTTTTTAAGAAATCAAAATGTAATGTTTTATTTATTGGGGTTTGTCTATTCGGGCGTATATACATCTGTGGTATATCATTACTTTGGAAGAATTGTTCTAGAACCATGAAAGGTTTTTTTAGTTTGTGCCATTTTTGAAGTGACTACTTACCGCTCGGTATACACTATATGTTTTGGACGGGAGTAAAATCGTCTTGGTCCAGACAGCACCCCATCTACCTATCTGTATAGTTTCCGAGATCCCCATGGTCGCCCTCGAATTTGAATCAGCATGTATATAGTGACTTTAGACTAAATAATTTACTTATTTAAATTCGCTAGATGCGGCTGTAGTTTCCAGATGCGTTGACGTTAATATCTGATTTTTAAAATTTTAAGTTCATTTCTCTGTAAACAATATTCAGTGAAGAAATATTTATTGTCCCTCTCTTGTTATGGGCCCTCAACAGGCTTTCGCCCCATTACAGAGTGACCCGCATAATGCTTTTTAGACGTGCCTCTGCAGAAGGTCTTAAGTTGTTCTATACTACTCCGGTATTTACCTTACAAATTAGGAAAACTGCAGCAAAATCTAATTCGGAGTAGTCGGCAGAATGCTCGAAACTGATTGTTACGTTCATTTATGGCCAACGTGACAAAATTACCTTAGATAAGCACACGGTAAGCTCAGGCAAAGTAGAGGTGGGTCGGTGTGAATATGGGGTTCTGTTATACAAACACAAATAAGCCAAAAAGGGAAGGAAACAGTAAAAGTAATCCGGATAGGCGCCACTTAGTCTTTGATAAATCTAGAGAGAGAGGGAGGAATACTTACTAAAGGGATAAACAAGGTAGACTAAGAGAACCTTATTCTCGTCTTACCAGGTATCACAAAATGGCCAAAACCGTTTCGGTAGAATCGAGGGGGAAGCAAAATGGTCGTATAAAGAAGGAACCAACTTCGACCTCGTACCCCCCGCCACCCCCATGCCTAAATTTTGAATTGTGACGTATCACTTGTGATACATCATTGGAAAGCTCTTAAAAAATGCTTTTCAGAAATACCATACACTGATGCATTTAAACTGCCCATTCACAATTTATGTAATTAAAATGAGTAATTTGAGTATTTGATGAATTTGTCAGTGTTTGAAATAAAAAAAAATTTCTTAGATCTAGATGATGCTTTGGAAAATCAATGACAGCAATTTTTAGTAAATAATAATTTTCTATTGCTTTATTTGTTGATCGGTTATTATTATTTTAGTCTCGTTTTTAGTATTCCTTGGCAAGAAAATTACAAATTTTGAATTTAACTAAAGATTTCATAATGGTGTACACGTTAACCGAAAGAGTTGAAATTATTTTCATCTATGGTTCTGAAGCGCGATCTGCATTTAGAACAGCAGCTGTTTTTAATGCCCGACACCCAGAACGACGTGTCAGTCACACTTATGTTGCAATGTTAGTGACTAAATTTGAAGAAACTGGGTCTGTGGAAAATAAGAAAAGAGACGGACCAAGAATAATGGATGAAGCTACTCAGATTGAAGTTTTAGGTCATTTTGGTGCAAACCCAACATCATCTATTCGAAAAGCAGCGACTATGACCGGACTTTCGCGAGAAACTGTACGACGAACTCTTAAGGTGCACAAATTCAACCCTTATAAGATGCAGATTGTACAGGAACTAACCGAAGACGACTCCGATCGAAGAATCCAATTTTGTGAAATAATGACCGAGAATATTCAAAATAATCCGGAACTGGTGAAAAACATTTGTTTTAGTGATGAATGTACATTCTTTTTAAATGTAAATGTGAACAAACATAACTGCCGGTATTGGGACGATAAAAATCCTCATCTTTTTCGCGAGGGGCATACTCAACGGCCCCAAAAAATTAACGTCTGGGCAGGTATCTTAGGTGATAGCAGTATTGGTCCTCTGTTTATCGAAGGAAATTTAACTGGAGATACTTACCTAAACATGCTACAAAATACCGTCGAGCCTCTCATCACTCATGAAATAGAGAATCAAATAAATCCAATTGACGGAAACATGAATTTGATTGAAGATTTTATACATTTTCAACAAGATGGGGCTCCTCCTCATTACTCTATGGCTGTTCGTGAATTTTTAGATGAGAAATTTCCGGGACAGTGGATAGGACGAAGAGGTCCTATAGAATGGCCAGCACGATCTCCAGATCTGACACCATTGGATTTCTTCCTTTGGGGTCATTTAAAATCGGTTGTGTACAAAACTGAACCAGCTTCCATAGATGATCTTCGCTACCGGATAATCAGGGAGTGCCGTTCACTTTCCAGGGAAGTGTTTAAA